GCTGTATGCAAACATTTGTATTTTTAGTATTCGGTTAATTGATATAAGTAGCAGTAAAAGTAAATAATTGATAATAATCCAACTGGATATATAAATATATAAATATAAAGAATTAGATACAATACTATATTTGTAGAAAACGATTGAGCACGTGAAAAGAAAATCGTGCTATGATTATAAAAAAAATATTATAATTATATTATTACCTATTATTACACAAAGTGGATACACAATATAGTAATTTGCTAATTGTACCTTTTAATAATTACTGTAGACACATTGATGAAAAAGGTTTTTTTCTTGTTATTAATTATTACCATAGACTTAAAAGATAATGAAAAATGTGTTATAAAAAATGCAATTGCTTCTTTTGTATTGTACCCAGTTTCATAAATTACTCTGATATTCTGTGTGCATATTTGTCAAATCAAAACAGTTTTACCACCATTTATAATGCAGAAATACATTCTGTAGTTGTATGAATTTCTTCAGTTTTAATTTTATGATAGGAAAGTAAACAGCATTTTAAAAACACTTGCTACTAAAGCACTTAAAGATAAAAGATACCATACAAGATTCAAGTTAATATTTCTGTATATTTTTAATATTATGATTACATCATTGTGTTCACCTCGTAAGGAAATATAACAAAGTAAACTATATAGCAACATGTCTACTAGTATAAATTCTCTTCTAAACTATTTTGTAAAAGATGTCAACATGTAAAAAAAATGAAGAAATTTCTTTTCTATGAAATTAGTATAGAAAATTTTTAAATATTTATGTATAGCTACATCCAGTAAGTAAAGTTACTAAGTATATTACATGAAATCATAAGTTTCATACATCTTTGCCTGTCAAATATTACATAAACTTTTATAGATACAGTTTATTTTAAAGCACATTATACATTAACGTTTGCTAATGATGTATGGAAAAATAATTTGTCAATACATTCAATTATTTCATTAAACATCCGGTGTTTGAAGTAATACATGTATGGCATTAATTTTGTATTTTAAAACTTTTCCAAGTGCAAATAATTACGAAGGAAATTGAAAGTAATAATAGTTAGACCCTCTTTATCCAAATATTTTTAATTCGTCGACAATCTTATTTAAATAATTGTGAATGATATTAATAAATATCTATATAATTCTTAGAAGAATATATGATTATTTATTAGCTATAGACTTGTAGGAATTAAATACTTTTGGATATTACGCTCCTAAATCGTTAAAAAGGTCAAACAAGATCTATTATCATTATATCGAAGTCGTTAGAAAGTATTTTCTCTCACCTTTTCGATGTCATTTAGAATAAAAATTGGTTACTTTTCTAAGAAAACTTATCGAAACATAGAAATTCATAAAGTATCGGAAATGAAATATCGATAATTCGATCACTGTTATTATGGCCATGCCGCAATATACCGACATAAGTTTAACTGGTAGAACTTCCTGATAAATATAGCGCGACAATTAATATGTTAATTCTTTGATTTTTATTGGAATTATCAATGATTACATGATTATACATTCAAATTAGTACTTTTATTAGAAAAGTACATAAATGTTTACCATTTATTTTTACTAATTTCTATGATTAGCAAGACTGTAAAGTAGCCCAAAACATACTTTACATGCATAAATAAATCGGGAAAACAAATAATTATAATTATAGAAGTCGATAAAAGTAGCCTAAACCCTTTTAATTAGATATTTTATGTGGTATTGCCACTCTATTTAACTCTATTCTGTACTATTTGTAAATTACGAATCGTAATTAGCCTACATCCAGGGATGCCTGGTCTTAATATGGCGACATATATAGACTGTATAACATTTGTGGCAATTTGTTGAACACATGTCCACTACTGTATTCAAACAATTATTTTATTAACCAAGTAATTTTCATAAAAATGAGTGTAGATAAAGAGAAAAGTGATAATTTGGAACCAACTAAGTTCATGGAACCTAAGGAAAGAAAAAAAAGACGTGCAAGCGAAAATCGTATGGAGGTATGAATTGAGGTTATGTTTAGTTATTGTTGATATATAAATTTATGATTTACAATATCTTGTATATCTCATATGTTTCTTTAGGTGGAAGTAATCAATGGCGTAGAAGGTAAAGTGAAATCACATACAACTTTCAAAAAAGCTAGAAATGTACAAGGTGGAGAACAAAGAAAGGTAAATACAGTATTCTATTTTTCATGTTTTTATTTTCTTATACTATCATTAAAGTAAAATATTTTCAGATATCCGTGCCCGCACATAGGTACACTCCTCTAAAGGAAAATTGGATGAAAATATTTACACCTATCGTGGAACATTTACAATTACAAATAAGATTTAATTTGAAATCGCGAAACGTAGAATTACGTACATCACCAGAAACTCCTGACATTGCCAATTTACAAAAGGGGGCTGATTTTGTAAAAGCTTTCATTTATGGGTTTGAAGTGGAAGATGCTTTGGCTTTATTGCGATTAGATGACTTGTTTGTGGAAACATTTGAAATTCAAGATGTGAAACCTTTAAAAGGAGATCATCTCTCTAGAGCAATTGGGAGATTAGCAGGAAAGGGTGGAAGGACCAAGTATACTATAGAAAACGTAACAAAGACGAGAATTGTATTAGCAGATCAAAAAATTCATGTACTTGGTTCTTTTCAAAATATACAAATAGCACGACGGGCTATATGTAATTTAATTTTGGGTAGTCCACCTTCCAAAGTCTATGGACAATTGAGGAATGTAGCAAGTAGAATATCAGAGCGATTGTAAAATATTTAAAAAAACTGAATGACTTCGAATATAAGACTTGTTAAATCTGCTATACATGTATACAGAACATTAGCGTTTATTTATAAATAAATAAAATTACTTTTCAAATGTATGTATATATGCAAAATTTATTTAGGTTAGTTTTATATACAAATTTAAATTAAAGAAGTATTTGATATTTATATTTTCTGGGAACTTTATTAAGGACTAATCTACCATCATAACTCAATGATGCAAATGTCCAAGGATCCGCAGATGACCATTCAACTGCATAAACACTATCTTCGTGTTCTTCATATCTACCTACAACTCCATCGTATAACCTAAAAATATTACAATTTTTTCATTTCACATATCATTCTTAAAATGTCATTACTATTTTCCTTCCAATAAACCGTTATATTTACTTGTCTTTTTTGCAAGTATAGTCATTCTGTGTACTATCATCTTCAGGGGGTACCATATGACCAAATGGTTCTGATGAAATTGATGCAATACTACATAATATTACTCTAGAGTCACTGCTAGATGTTAGAACCAATTGATCATGAAAACGATTAATTCTAATACTCCACACCCAATGTGAATGTTCCATACGAGATAAAACTGGTTCTGTAGGTGACCGTATATCCCAGAATTTCATATACCCGTCATCTCCACAAGTAGATAAAAAGTATTGACGATTTGCATTAAAATCTAGATCTCTAGGTGCAAAATCAATATAATATTAAACTACTAATTTACAAAAATAAAATCAATGATTAAAATATAATAAATAATTTCTTTGGTACCTAATAATTTGAGAATGAGCAGATAAAATTGTCCAAGATGCTTCAGAAGGACTTCTAAAGTCCCATCCACGAACATTATTTTCATTCAGTGTGACAAATTGATTGCAACCATTGTGAGGATTCCATTTTCCATTTGTGAAGCGTGGTTGACCTTTGCTAGCTAAAGTACCAGAAGCTGTAGCCTAAATAATATAACAGATGAAGATGAATTTTTGAATAATAAATCAAAAGATTTATTATTACCTGAGGTTCACTATCAGCTAAATCCCACAATACAAATTTATTGTCTACAACTGAAACAGCTTTTGTCGAATCCATAGGATGATAAGCAATAGTTTTCAGATCTGTACCGTATGATGTTGTATTGATATCTGCTACTTTTTTAAGATCCTCCACATCATTTGTATATTCCTTTAATTCTGGTAGTTTCCAAATAGCTCCTTTCATTTGGCAACTACCATCATCTAAATAAAAAAGCTATGATTTTATTTTTGTCTGAATGCAGTTGATAAATTTTGTTATTTATCTAATTTAATGTACTTTTATAATTACCACTTAAACTATTATAACATGTAAGAAACACATTTGGATCTGTTGGCGATGCTTGTAAACACCAAACTTCACCAATAGGATGATGAAACACTTGAGTCTTTAAACCACCTGTTTCTTCATTAAGTTCCACCAAATGAACTTGGTTATTATTAAATTTCAATGACTGTGTTCCTACCAAGAATCTAACAATGTCTGTTTCTGCTGTTTGGGCTGATAATGCCCTAGTCTACAATATTTAAAAAAACAATGTTACTGTAGTTGATAGATTAAACAATTGTTATCAATTTATTGTTCATAAAATTGTATAAAAATAAGTTTTCATGTGTCTAATAGTACACTTCAATTAATTAACATTTGATATATTTAAGCCCATACTTGGAATTCAAGTCCGTATATTACAGGACTATCATTTTCCATCTTTAATACAACTCGGGTTTTAGAATAAATAGAAAGAATCTTTATTTACAAGAAAATCGTAACTTAACCCCTACGATCTGTCATAACAATCTGTCTGTTGTATTGGTTGTATGTATACATATATATATTTCGCATCGAGAATGAAAGACAACTAGAGGGCATTAGTGATCCAAACAACAGTTGCCACGTTGTTACAAATTTTTGAATTCGCTGTTATTCAAAACTACCATTGCGTACACAAAATATCTTATTTTATGAAGAATTATAACATACATGATCATAAAATAGTATCAAAGAAAAAATTAAAATTGATGCAAGAGTATTTGCTAACAAAATGCTACTTTATTCTTGATGTTTAAGTATGTTTTATACAGAAAAATGGTATGATTTCGAGTACGCAGTTTTATTCAATCGTATACATTATATAAGATAAAGGCCCTAAATTAATTTCTACGCCTAATAATTTGTTTAGAGCATCCTGTGAAGCCTACCGCCCCGAGATCAGCGCCCATTGGTTTACGGCTAGAGCCAGCCCTGAGAGGGATATCGGTCGGGCCAATCGACGGCTCTGTTTTACCTTCGAATTAACGAACTGCAAGGACATCTACATATTTTCGTTATCCCTGCCATATCCCCACCACGTTTCAGAGCAGCTCGCTGCGTTGCTTTGCGTCGGTCGACGGGTAACCAGCCGTGGGGTCACCAGACAAATTATGTCAAACGGAGTGGTGTTACGAACTTGAGCGACTATCGGGATTCGCTGTGCTCTCGTACATGGAAGTATCGCAAAGTGCGCGTTCATACGATTTCAGTGTGGTGCTCGATGCAATTTAGAAACTAGCCTTCGTCTCATATATTCGCGTTAAATTTGTGCTAACGTTGAATAATCCTCCACGAATCTCTGCTTTCGTGTCGTCTTCGCACAAATGCATGTATCTGTATTTACTCGTTCAAAGAAATCATGCTGACCCTGCAACATCAATTGTAAGTAATCACCTGACACGTTCTTTAACTATTTCATTGAGAATCGTCAAACTTCACCGTCTATGTTCACTGTCATCGAATCCTGGGATACGTGTTTCCTTCCCATGTATTTTTTTTTCCTCTTAGCTTTGATGCAAACCGAAAACACGTCTGTCACGTATACGGATTTGGCGAAAGTGAAAATTTACAGTTTCTCTTGTATTTCGATCGTGGCAGATCGAGGCTCGATAGTTGGAAGTAATTTGGCCGCCAAATCTTTCACCGATATCGTGACTCGATTTCGAGGCTTTATGCTTGTGATATATTATTACGACGATTGTTGATGTTAGTTTTAATTAGGCGTGGGAATACCTTATCTTGACTAAAAATTAGAACGATTATACGATTATATCCCTTTATATTTATACCTATATATTTCGTGAAAATTGTCTCGAACGATTCTAACAAGATCTAACCGCCAAATTTGTTGATCGACGTCAGGATTCGAGGTATCTTGGAAGATTATCGTAGTGGTTGTTGACATTGTTAGTTTATCCGAGGGAATATCCTATCGTAACTGAAACTATGAGAATTGAAATTATGAGATGAAAATCGTTGATGTAACTGTTATCGACGCTACTATCTTTATCTTCCATGAAAACCGTCTTGAATAATTCTAACAAGTGTTCGTACGACACGAGACGTACGAAATTGCCGAGTAGATGCAGCAGTTGTTTATTTTCTAACGAATCGAGACATTTACTGATTGTTACTGAATACAACACAGGAGAACTGTTGCTACCGGTACAAATTTAACCTAGCTGATTTTTTTTGCATTTCTCGACGTTTTGAAATATCCTGAGCTACAAACATGCACAGAACCGGTTACAAAATTCTGCATGTATGTTGGCCTCTCTTATGCTTTATACCTAACAAGTTGCTTATCAGAAAGTCATGCAATTTTGTACGATGACTTCTTTATATCTATAAAGTATACTTACCAATGAGTTTAAAAAAAATTTCTGTCGAGGTTGTGACATTTTTTAGTCATGCAATTTTGTCATGCAATTTTGTCATGGAATTTTGTACGATGACTTCTTTATATCTATAAAGTATACTTGCCAATGAGTTTTTAAAAGAAATTTCTGTCGAGGTTGTGACATTTTTTAGTCAGAAGTTTTGAATATTATATATTTGATATCATAAATAGTATAGAGTATGTGTAATAAATGTTGCGTGAATATTTATGTATACAATCTCGATTTTCTTATGCTGCTATCGGTGGCAATGAAATTTTTCTTGATAAATATTATTTAAAAGTTATATCGAGTCGATAATAATAATCTCCCTCGACCTTTAACAATGCCACTTTTTTGTTTAACGCAACTATTCATAGACTAGCTGAACAGTGTCTTCTTTTTCTTTTTCGACCAACTCATTGGATCGTAGTCTATTTCATACGAGTCGTGTGCTATTTTGCACACGTATTTATAACGCATTTCAACAAATTTCTATTACGCAATTTATAATGAAATTTGTAACGGAACTACACTCTTAAAAATTACATTTATTATCATGGACATCGATCAATTTATTTGTCTACGGTCGCCTACACTTGACATTCAAATTATTACGCAACGACTTGTCCTTTTCGCAAGAGGCCTACGGAGTCCAACACGTTTTCCTTGCAACTTACGAACGGCACAGAGTTTTGATTGTTGGGTAACTGTTTCTCGCGGAACTTGCTATCTCACTTCCCATTTCCAATTTTCCGTCTCGTAGCTACTCAAACTTTACGCTGAAAAACATTTTATTGCTTATGTACACGTTTGATTGCGTGCTCTATTATGTATACTAATCAAAAGTTTTATTTATCTTGTTTATTCAAAATCTTGTTATTCAATAATTGTACTGTGGATCATTGTCACGAAATCATTGTTAACACTTTACCGACCGGTAGCGATTGATCATATAATTAAATTCAATAATATCATTTATTTTTACAATAGTATTATTTAATATTTATTTTCTCTGTTTGAACTGTTTTTTTTTTTTATCAATATTTACATAATATTGCGTAATTCATGTAATAGTAGGAGCATAACATTTTCAATAATAGATAACCAAGTATTGGTTACCATGGTAAAAACCTGATTAATAGCCAACCAGTCGGTAATGTGTTGATAGACTTCCAGTCGATAAATTGCGAACGCTAAACCTTCAAATGACCGTTTTCAAATATTTCTATACAGTTCTTATATGCAATATATTAGGTAGACTGGAAAGTAATGTCGTTTCTTTTACATTAAATCCAAACAAATTTTTGGTAAATTTCTATTTTTAATTAATTATATTGTTTTGTAACTATATTGCTATAGTTACATTTATATAGTTATATTTGTAACTGTATTGTAACTTATATTGTTTTGTAATTGTATTGTTGTTTAATTAATTATATAATTAATAATTTTTTTAAGTATACGCCTTCGTTATCAACAGCCTCTTGCCATCTAGTGTGCAAATTTTCAATGCCAGATCGATAAAAATCAATGACCCGATGAGCGATAGACAAATATTTAAAATTGCAAAATCGACATTACTTTCCAGTCCACCTAACACGAAGCATATACAATTGTTTCGTATGCTGTTCAATTTAATTCCACGTAAAATATTTTCGCATTAAACAAAGTCTCTTCAAGACTAACCGTTCGTCCCATCGCGATAGAAATAGTTACAAATGAAGTAGGGATGTTCGATTTCGATTTTTAAATCGATTCTTTGGTATTCGATTTTCCCCAGAATCGATTCTTTCATGTAAGAATCGAAGATCGATTTTTCTTAACAATAAAAGCACATTCGCTTCTACATTACTATTCAAAAAAAGTATAGGAATAGCGATGAAAATATAAACAAAGTAGAGTCTGCCTTTGGTGTAAGAGGACGAAAAGTAAAAGAATAAAAGATTGATTCTTTACAAAAATCGATGCCGAGCGGAAGAATCGTACGGGAATCTGTTTACAAAAATAAAAATAAAAAAGGAAACAAAAAAGCCGATTCTTTTTAAACCGATTCTAGCAGAATCGATTCATTGGTTTCGATTTTTAGGAGGAATCGATTCTCTCATTCCGATTGAAAATCGATTCTTTCCGGTGAATCGAACATCCCTAAAATGAAGGCTTATCGTTAATAATTCACCGATCCGAGCCAACTCGGAAGGCACGCGACCCAAATTAACCAAATTATCAGCTCCAAAAATCACGACTTCGCGTTCACGTGAAAACAAGCCTTTAGGGACGATCCGACCGCGTCCGTTCAAGTCCACGCGTTTAAAGTCGACCGTTCGATTCCGAGGTCCCCCGAACAGCAAAAAAGGAAAAAACAGAAGAAAAGAAGAGACACAGGCGCATTACGTTCGCCTCTTGGCCCTCGCGTTGAAACGAGCCGCTTGGCAAGCGGTGACCCACGACGAGGCCTGCACAGTGGCACAGCCATCACAGGGATTCTCTTCGTTTGAATATCCAATGCTGCTTTAGCGGGCTCTCGGGTTAATTGATCGGCTGGGATGTTTTCGTCCTGTTGGTACGACCTCGTTGCCGGACGCGTTCGTCGGCTGGCTGGCTGACTGGCTGGCAAAGCTGCCATGGCAGCGAATGTCCACGTGAGATCGATCACTCGACCGGCACAGGCCAGTCCCAGCCGTATCAGTTGTTCAACAGATGACGGCTTCAAGGCTCGGACTCCAAGCCTGTCGGGGAAAAACGGTTCGTTTTTTGTTTCCCCCTCCCTCGTGCGATCAAAAACGATTCACGGTCGCGGGGATCCACGATCTTCGTGACGATGAGTTGTCTCTTGTGTCTGTGGCTGGCCTGGCTTTAAAAGCGCCCATAGAAACCGTTCGATGCCTCTGAAATCATATAGTACTGGACAAAAGCGTTGGCACACCATACGGCGACTGTTGCCTCGAAATTAAAACCATACGCGTGGTGGTTCCAAGTGGGAAACCGGAAGCTTGGACCGATTCGCGTGATATTCCGAGGCTTTACGTATCGGAGCCATTTCTGTCGCGGAATGGTCGTTCGTGCTTTTTGTATCGATGTAGTTTGTAAATTGAGGCGTGGATAGTCACGAAATGGATCATTAGAAATTGAGGGATAGTCAGAAATTAAATGGTTATTGATAGAAGCTTAGCTATTTGTAGGTAGCCCTCAGGGATTGTAGCTACGATTGTAGCTACAGTACGGGTTTAGCAACCCCGAGGTACCCGAGCTATACAAGGGACCATTCGAGTCGTTTTGTTTAAAGGGGTATTATCGTCTAGAAGTTTGTTTTTTCAGTAATTTTTAGGAATTAATGATAAGATCCGTTATCATCACATTCATACTTTGAACGTATTTTTGACAACTTTCCCATCGTTTCTCGGGAAAGTGATAAGGACATTTTTTGTTCCTTGGGAGAGACTCTAAAAGGTCCTGCATGAATTTTTCATTTCCAGGCGATGCCAAAAACGAGCATTTCTTAACACCCTCCTTTACGCGATTAAATGTTCTGCCTCAACTATTAATACATTAAACATTTCGCGATCCAACATCATAAGTAATATAACAAACAACATATATCTCAGGAATGTGATATACATTGATATACAATTTGATATAAAAAAAATTCGTTGATTTACCATTACTAGACTACAGATTTTATGCTATTATGGCGGTACAGTAATATAGAAAACATTCATAAAATATACATAATGCACACTGAATACATTTTACAATTAATATAATAATATCGTTGTTTCGTTTTGCACAAGTGCACACATTTTTCCGTTACATTTACCATGTATCACGATACTAACTCGCATCATGAGTGCATAAAGTCCGCAAGCTAGTCATCACTAATCAATGAGAATCGTTAACCTGAGAATATTCAGAAAAGTTCAGTGCACCGTCACTGTCAAACAAAATAAATAACTACCTCCTCCTCTGTTTCAACCACTTTAATCGCGAACGAATAAATAAATCATT